TGAATGTATCCGATTGGTTACAACTTGATGATAGCGTTATTGCAGAAATTGTACTCAAGTGAGCCGTTCATTTGAATTCATCAAAATTTGAATTGCTCTTTCAAATATGAAACGTTTGATGAAATTGTAGTTGTGTTTAGTGATGAGTACTAATCGGTTTTATTAATTCTAATGAAATGGAAATATTGTTTATTATTGTTTCATTCGTATGAATGTATACAGAAAAGATGCGAATTAAAAACTGACTCGAATTACTCTCATAATTACTGCAATCATTTTCAATACAACTGAAAAATTTGATCATTTTAGTGATCTGAATTTTTCTATTATAACTTCGCATTTCATACGTATTCATCAAAATCCATAACTATGTCACACTTCAAGCAAAGATTAATTGATGCTTATCACTGTCTTATCACAACGATGGCAATTAATTACAATTGAATTTCAGTTGTAAGCAGTTGAGATCATTGAGCATAGCGCGTTGTTCATCGGTCACTGAACACGGTCTTTGGTTGATCGTTAAATACTTGAGGTTAATTCACCTTTTTATCACTTGCATTCACATATCTGACTGCCTTTCTGTTCATTTCAACGTGAACAAAAATTTGTAAATTACATCGATTCAAGTTGAATACTGAAATAAACAAACAAACTCTACTTAACGTGACTCTGAATACCTAAAAGAATGGCTGAATCGATGATGAGTGTCATTTTATTTGAAGAGAATTGCGTTTTCTGGATATAAACGGGTTGAACGATAGCATTGTGTCGAAAATGTTCAATATTAATTTATCGACAATATTCGATATTGATTTCAACGATTTGCCTCATTTGATCTATCTTTCGGCACATTACGATAGTCTTAATTTGTCGCCAATTTTTATCAAAGTTTGCTCATTTAATTTTGTTACTCATTTAATTTTGTTACTCATCATTCATTTATTCATTTTGTTGCAATTAAGGTGTTGTGGTCGCTTATAAACTTTAATTAATTTCAATGTTCAACAATTTCAAAACTCTAAACTTATCGAATTTTTGTTTGATTTGCGATTACTTTTCAAATTGTCCTCTAAATAATCCGATATTGTTGACTGAATGATCGCATTTTGCTTGATATAAATTGAAATCTTAATACCAAATACTATTCGTGCGCTGAGTCACAAAAGTGACTTTGCCAATAATGAAAATAATGAATAGAATACCCGATAAACAATTGATCAATTACGCATTATACTCATAAACAGACAGCATCAAAAGAATAACTATAAACTTTAACTTAATAATAAGACTAAATGAATAAAAATTCAGCAGATCAAATACTTTCTACAACGTTTGATTCTCTGCAAACCGAAGTTAATAATATCGCCTTCCAGCAAATCATTCATTACGTACAGCATGAAGAATGGTGAAATTTGTTTGATAAATAACAATTCGTTCAGTGATAATCAAAGTGTCATCAATAAAATCACTAATGAATTGTCATCTTTTGATGGCTTTTGTTGTATGTCATCAATTACTTGAAATTTTTCGTCGTTACTTTTTTCATCACAAATTGCACCTTCTTTGATAATTTATTTTGTTGTTCTTTATCGGTAACTCGTGATTATCGGTATCGGTAATAATTGTAAGTTTTGTTGAGAATTATCGATAATTTATTGAAATGTTCTGATTTGTCGTTGAATCGTTCAATTTATTATTGCTATCATATGTCGTATTTTGATTTGAAACTTTGTGGTGATAGTGTACTGATAAGTGCAATCACCTTATTGTTAGTGTAATCGGGATTTGTGTTGCCGTGCAACGTTTCGGTTCAACAACATCATCAGTGAAGGAGTGAGGGGAGTAAGAAACACCTGATCGAGATCTCCATGAGCTGGATCAGTTCATGGTTGTGATGGTATCCGAGCGAAATTTCATATCGGAATCCAACTGACCTGAAATTTCGTTTGGATGCCATCACTGCCGCATTCCGACCGACATGACTTTCCCAAATTCCGACAATCGGAATTCCGACCGACTGTCAGATAATATACTATCACAAATTCACTGATGTCGAATATGTAAATTATGAGAGAGGATTACACCAGTTTCGTGAAAATATGTGATGTTTGTTGTATGAATACTTTATATCAAATTTGATTCCATTGATCAAGTTAAAATCAGTCATCAATTTTACTGCATTTTCAGTAATCATTTGTATGAGTTTTGTGAGAAGTACGATAAAAGTTTCGAATATATTTGATAGTTTCATAGTTTCGAATATATTTGAAAATCAATTTTATGGTTTTAAATACCAAATACCGATGTAACAAATTTTATGTTTAATTATTTATTTGAATTGGTTCGAAATGAACATTTGTAATCTTTCAGTTTGCATTCATTCACAATGTCCATTTATGTTTGCGTCTGTAATTGAAATTTTTATCTGTGCAGCAAAATAGCGCCATCGATTTGTCATTAACTTTATGAAGTTTCATCAGGTGACGTTGTTTTGCCAATTTAAGCATTGTTCTTCGATGAGTAATTCAGAGTTTTGGAGGTCATCTAGGTATTTATAATGATCGGTGGCAATCATTTTACACTACGAACCGACCAAATCCCTGCCTTTTCATATTTATTGAAGTTCGAAGGGCGAAGTGGAGATCCCAATGGAACTAATTTTTGCTTCCATTATCATCACTAGCACGGGTCCAACAAAACAACAAGGTAGTGAGGAAGGTGTGGCAGGTTAAACTAGCCATCTACGACGGTTTTTCTGCTAGTGAAGCAAAAAATTATCTTCCTACATAAAAGGAAGTACCAAAAAACAAATTTAAAAAAATTGACCACATGAGAAAATGCATTCAGTTTGTGATAGTGGTGGCATTCGACCGACGGCTGCTCGGAAAATACAGCAATTTCGGTCGAAATTCCTCTATTCGGATTCTAACCGAACAGTCTGGAAGGTCGATCGGAATTCCGACTGAAGTCGGAATGTTTTGCAGTGTGAATTTGCTCGGATTCCGACCAAACAATTCCGATAGTCGCTTGAAATTCCAACTGATGAAATTTGGAATGATGAAATTTCATATCAGCCAGATTCCTTCCGACTGATATGAAATGTCGCTCGGATTCCATCACAAGTTTGCGGACATGTGCGAACCCTCTGTGAACGGATCGTTCTAGTGAAGGACGTGTGCAGTCAAGGAACGGGGCGAAACATCATATGAAACATTCAACGGGGTGATGGGTCCGGAAACGGCGATCTATCGTATGAGATGTGTGCATTTGGTGGTATCGATGCGCGAATCAGTTTTTATGATTCATTTTGCATTCAATCGAATGTGAACGTATGTAAACAGTTCATGCCGGTATGTTCTGTGGTGTGGCCACCAGCACTTTTGTAGACGGCTTGGGAATAGCGCAAAATGGTGTGGTTTTTATGAATAGTTGAACTTTGAGGTGCATTTTTATAAATTTATTTTTCCTCCGTTCGCTTTGCACTCGTTTCTTTGCCCTTCTTTTGCCACTTTCTTCTCGTTTCTCCCGTCTCTCTTGCCCGCTCGGCTACGCGCCATTCACTATCATCATTTCATTCTGAGCAATTTATTGCTCTAAACGTTATCGCTTTCATTTTAATTACTAGTGTTATCGGTTTTTCTGTGATTAAAAATTTCTTCTTCATTACTATTCGGCAGTGATTGTTTGAGTGAGCATTTGTATTCTCGAATAATTACTTCGAGTAGTCATGTTACGAGCGAGTATTCGACTGATTATGAAACATGCAAGTGATCGATTCGACTGAAAACACTTCACCGAACTTTCCATCGGAATTGTTTCTATTTACTTTTTCAATAATTCGAAAATATTCATTTTCAATCGAATTCTCGATCAGATTTTCCTCTCATTTACCTATCAGAATACGTTATCAGCATCGAGAGCGTTCGATGCGTTGTTATTACTGACGAATTCGAAAATCTGATAATCGCCGTTCGTTGCAAGACGCGACTAGCGCAGAGGTAGCCATTGTGCTATCGGCGTGCATCGATTGTGACATACGTTTGCGCGTTGTACGCCAATTTATTTGGTGGCTTTTTTTGAGGCTATTTATCGATCGAGGATTGATCGCGAAAAAAGATTTCCGAGTCGGGTGTGTGCAAGAGTAGGAAATAATTCGGAAATTATGTCCGGTATGTTTGTTCGTTTTCGTTTACTTTTATCTAGCATCCAACTTGAGTGCTTCCGTCCTTCGGTGTTGTTCCACTGATATGTGAAAGCAATGAACTGACAAGTGTTTTGAAACGTTTGAACTTGGTGTTGTTTTGTTAGCGGTAATCAAATGTAGTCAGTCACTGCAGCAGTCTTATGTGTGGTAAAAATCAGAAAATAGTATCAGTGATTAGTATTGTAAAGAATGAATGAAAGAAAAAATTCAGCTTACGGATCAGCATATCAACAACAACCTAATCCTGCGAATGGACCTCCATCGGATCAGTCTGCGGCCGCATACCAACAGTATGACCCGGCTACTTTAGCTCAGTATCAACAGGTTAATTCTTCGGTGAGGCTTACCACAGGCAGGATTAGTTCACTACGGATTAAGATTATGTCTCAGGGGTAACTGAGACTCGTTCAGGGTTTTACTAATGCTTGCCTCATTTCATAAACATGTTAGGTAGAAGATTAACGTCGTTCAAGTGATCAAATTGAATTTGATTATGAGAATGACGAATAAATGTTCAGGCTTGGCAACAGTATTACGCAGCAATGAGTCAAGCGGGTGCTGGAAATGGGCCCGGCAATGGTAATCCACCGTCGGGACCTGTCTCACAGCAACCTCAATCAGGGGTACCTTTTTGTTCCTCTATTATGTAACTGCTATAGTTTCCGTCGAAAAGTATATCAGTACAAAAAAATTTTCAAAATGGTTGTGTTACTGACAAAACAGTAATATGCATGGTGCATTTCATCACCAGATGCACTTATCAACTACCATTATGTTGGTTATTTAAGCCGGATTCGACGCAGTATTCGGGATATTTCGCACAATCAGGCGGTGGACCGCCAGGCGGGAATGGACCACAACCGAACAACGGTGGCCCTCCATCATCCGGTTATGCGAGTTCCGGACCGATGCCGAATTCGTATGGTGCACCTCAATCGGGTGGTCGAGGAGGCATGCACGAAGGTCAAGGAGTGCCACCACCGTTGATGTCGAAAGGAAGCGGATATGATCCGTATGATAGTGGTGATAGTCGAGGAGGTGGCGGTCATGGAATGGGCGGTGGATACGGCGGAGGAGGCCCTGGTGCAGGAGGAGGAGGAGGTCTGCTATGCTTCATTTCAATCCACTTTCAAAATATCCCAACAAAAATTCAGTTTAATCAAATTTATCCAAAAAGCTCTCCTTGGAATTCAGTTTGCCATTTCTTAGACAAAGATTTACAAGATTCGATATCCGTTGATTAAATTGAAGTTGGTTAAAATTTAAAAATAAAAACAACAAAATGATTGGGTGATGAATTGCAGATCGCTATGGTGGACGTGATGAACGTGGTGGAGGTGGTCGTGAAAGAGATAGGGACATGGGTGGTGGATATTCGGATAGAGGCAGAGGAGGAGATCGGGAAAGAGATAGAAGTCGTGGNAATTGGTATATATTCGGGGTTGTATATATTAAAATGGATGACGGTGTGTGACCACATGAATTGAACACATTCAATTCGGATTGTAAAAAAAATCGGTGACCATAAAACAAACAGAAGAGATGAATTAAAACGGTGTTTCAACAGTCGGCGGTCAGTGCCTTTTGGGTTGTGTATCGGTAAACGAAAAGATGCGATATGTGTCACAATACCACGTTCGTTTTCCGAGCGGTATTCACATTCAGTAATGTGAACGAATTCAAAACCGATGGTATATTTACATGAGAGTTAAAAGCGTAAAAACCAACAAAAATAATTGTGTTGTTGTTGTTGAATCAACTAACGAAAAAGTTTAGTGTGTCGTTGTAACGTAACACTCCGTAAAATGGATGCGTGGTATCCTTATAATGATCATTTTATGTACATATGTTGTGTATGATCCGCGCTTACCATCATCAAAGAAACAGGGAAAAGAGAGTGCTTGAACTGAACAGAACAGATCTTGTTTAGTGCCTCTCTGCTTCGAGTTCATATCATGATTGATGAACGATTTTCACGTTTGTGGTATTATGTTTCATACAGTTTTACATTACTATTTTAGTTTTCACTCGTTAGGATTATNCAAAAAATGAAAAACCCAAATGCCGTCTGCTATAGATAAGTGAGGATTGGATTTTTTTATTCTCAACAATCTGTTGTTCATAGGAAAATCTTACGATTAGTTTAGCGAGCTTTTGCTTGAGATTTGTTAATTGAGGTCATTTTTCTGGGTTGATTTTTAGATTGTGATGTTCAGTTGGAAACAAAGTTTGAACACTTATTTATAACTAGGGTGATAGTGTATTGAGATGAGTGAGTAGCAGACGGCATGATTTGTTTTGTTTGAGGGAAGAAGTGATAGATTGATTATTTAAGTGAATCAATCGTGAAATGTAATGTGATGAAATTATTTGGTTTAGCTGACAGGTTGTTCGATTTGATTGAAATACAAAAGAAACACGACGATTCAGCGCTTGAACGACGATTGTTCTTCATTGATTGTTGTCGTGCTTATATGCCTTACATCCGTTGGGTCTAGGCGAAACTGTCGCTTTTTTAAAAAATATATCCTTACGGGTTAAATACAGTTATTTGGCCCAGTTTGGCTGCGTGGTTTCGACGATGGCATAAAGCAGTAATGAGCAATTCGTTGGGACGATGATCGAGTAGCGTTGAGGGTGGTCATACGCGATGTGATCACCGCGTATTGAACCCTGTAAAGAAGGATGTGGTGAACACATTTGAGAATATGACTATCACCCTTTAAGAAGGGTGATATTGCAATGATATGTGTATAAAGGCGATGGACTAGGTTCCACTAGGGTTGGATGAATTAAGCTCATGCCTTCATCATAAGCTACGGAAAGAACCAATGAGCTGCACACTAACAATAAGTTCATATTAAACTGGTTGCAACTTGAGCTTGGTACAAGGGAAACTTGAGCAGAATTTATTAATTGACGGTTTCGTTTTGCCGATATTGATGTGTGTTGTGAAGAGAACAGAATGAATTTGAAAAATAAGCTGCAGAAGGTTCCTTATGAAGTGAGATAAGGTGTATGGCGTATTGAATCACGGATTCGTTACCTTTTGATGAGTTGAGAACCATTTAGGTTGAAGCGGAATAGGCTAGGAAGGAGGGAGGGGAGAGTAATATCACAACAACAGACGAAACTGTTATTCAGTAAATGAGATGAATGCATAAATTAGAAGTTGACGTTCGTTTCAAGGGTCGAGTCGCCCTAATTCATAGATCTGCGCGCTACTCTCTCCTTAGCGCTTCATGGTTGGTGGTGCAAAGGATTAGCTGAGTTGCAGCTAAGCCTAGACTGAAGCGGTCTAATCGAATACGTCAAAGCTATCACATCCGAAATAATGCACCCATCGGATATGTGAACGCATGCCGAGTTGCTCATTACTGCTCTATGAAAAGGAAAGTGTTGAACTGAAAGGAACACCCAAGTTAATGTAAAATGCAAAACCTAAAAAAGAGTATCTATCAATCAACAATCAAAAAGGGCTAAACGTAAACCAAAAATCGAGTAATGAATAAACTCGCAATAAGAAGAAATCAAAACGAAGAACATGATTTCTGTGTATGTCATGTCAAACACATATTTCGTCGTCTTTCTTCTCCCATCTATCTCCCATCAATGACGCCGTTTTTCAGGCCGGGCAATGGTGCCCCGGCAGGACGCGGAGGCTTTCAAGGTAGAATTATAAACAAATGGGATATGTATTTTTTAAGAGTTGAGATTCATAAATGTTTATTATAGAACATATGTAAATGTTACAAACATATGTTGGTATATGTCGAAAGAATTTGGTAGTTATGTGAAAGCTGATAGAATATCTTTTGATTGAGTGCAATGTTTTGGCGTTGGGTTGTTATTAGGGTTCATGGAATGAGATTGCGTGCATTCTAGATAGAGGAGCACCGAGAGGAGGTATTGGTGGTGGAGTGAGAGATGATCAAGTTGAGGTTCGAGAGACTGTCTTCGTTCAAGGCATACCGCCATCGTTAGTTGTTTTCACTTCAGTCTTATAAGATCACTATCGTTCAAAGCAACGAACCTCTACGAAATTTCAAAGTAGATTTTGATATTTATTGTCACTGCATCGTTTTTGAATAATCGATCAGCATTATCATTATCACCAAAGCAAGTATTTTTCTGGAGTGCACTAAAGACGTTCTGTGTTCAGAGCAAATGAGCAGTTCATCCACGACGTGTTCAGTACGCAAGGCGATGTGGCTCGAAACGACCGTACTGGTGAGCCGCGCATCAAGATTTATACGGATAGAGAGACACACAACCCGAAAGGAGAGTGCACAATCACGTTCATTGATGAGAAGACTGCCGAACGTGTCATTAACGTTTACAATGGTATTCACTTCTTGTGCTGATATTATTGTTGGATACAGTGTATGCATGATTGTGTAGCAGTAATGCAGTGGTAAACGCTAAACGAATTATACGAACGTTATTCAGGTCAATGCTTCCCGGGAACCGACCAACGCATGACGTTGAGCTTCGCGAAATACAAAGCTGACAATTCACGATTTATGGGGCGAGGTGGAGCCGGGGGTGGTCGTGGGGGAGGAGGGGGATATGGTGATCGAGGAGGTGGACGAGATGGTGGGGGTAGAGGTGGTTATGACAGAGGTTTGCATTTTGTTCTTGTTTGTGCATTTATAATTTTCTGTTGGTAATTTTTATACGGACAGTAGAATGATTTGTCACATTCACTCATTGGGTTTGCATCGTTTGATTTAATAGATTTGTTTCATTGTGTATCCAGATCAAATTTATTGCAATTAGCAGATGTATTAATAGTTTGAAAATGTATCTTTTAGTAAGTTAATGATGGAAAGTTGGGAAGAGACGATTATGAAATTGACTGATATTTTTAATTGAATGATGTTGACAGTTATTACGATTAATGACATTTAAAGGTGGTTACGGTGGTGGTCGAGACAGAAATGGACCGGATCGTTATGGTGATCGGGATGGTGGCGGAGGAGGNGGGACGGGGCGGGGGTAGAGGAGGTGGTTTTGGCGGGGGTGATCGTGGAGGAGGAAGTAGAGGTGGGTTCGGTGGACGTGGAGGAGGCGGAGGTGGCTTCGGTGGAGAGGGTAGAGGTGGTGGATTCGGAGGAGGCAGAGGAGGCTCGGCCGGGGGCAGAGACGATTTCGGCGGGGGTGGCAGAGGTCAGTGCTTTTTTTCATTCGAGAAAAGTGGTGTGCACAGTTGATGAAATTAGTATGAAGGAATGAGAATGGAATTGTACAATGAGCATGATAATGAATGATTAGGTTCATTCATTCCGTCAGTATTGTACTGAATTTGTACATTTTTACTGAATCTTTACATTATTGCTACGTATTTTCCACATAATAGTGTTAATTATCACAAGCGTTTTTGTCATTGCTGCGTTGTTATTGAATCTGTTTTCGGTTTCTTGATGGTTGTTTTTTTGAAGATTTTGGTGGACGAGGAGGAGGGTTCGGAGGAGGTCGTGGAGGTAGTCGAGGCGGGGGATTTGGTGGAGAACGTGGTAGAGGAAGAGGTCAGTGTAGTTGCTCATTGGGAAGATTTAAATTTTAGATTTGTATTGTTAACATTATATGGATGCTGTGTGAGTCGGATTCGGCGTGTTGAAGTGGTGCCTTCGTACGGAATGAATGGATTGTAAAAGAACGAGATTTAAAAGCTGGTGTCAATGCTACAGGTCGTGGTATGGGCACTGGTGGTAATACGGAGGCTCGGCCGAATGATTGGAGTTGTGATTCATGTGGTAATACAAACTTTGGTTTTCGTCAGGAATGTAATCGATGTCACGCACCACGAGGCAGTGGCGGAGGTGCGATGCCTGCTGGTGGTGGACCGATGATGCGTGGTGGCGGAGGAGGAGGGAGGGGAGGACGTGGCGGTGACAGACATGCACCCTACTGATCGTTGATCTCTTCTTTTGTACTCGTTATCGTTCAATCTTGTCTACATATACTTCATTCATATATCCTTTTACAATTATCGGTAACATTTATTGATATTTTGCATTGTTTTTGTTTTGTTCTTTGTTTGAGTAATCGTGAAAGGTTCGGTTTTGAATTTTGAGATATATTCATTGTGTTGCGAAAACATGTAATCAAGGCCACTCTCTCCATATCGCGACAAGCTGACCGATCGCTCTAATGTACACATTGTTGCAATTTTTGTTAGTCTGAGAGGAGTAATGGCTAACCCTTCAAACTCAACTTCGCCATTTTCTGACTCTAACGTGTTTGGTTTGGAATGGTTGGTGCACATTTGATGCATGTTTTCAAAGCCACGAATATCCTATCGCACGGGGATTCGAACTGAAGTCTCGAAACCTGTTGAAGACTTCAACTTCAATGTCATGTTTTAATGAGTTCAGTAAGCAGCTGTTCGTCTCGTTGGAATGTATCTGATGCGAAATCACGTTGTTATTGTTGTTGCTGTTGTTGTCCTGTCTGTTTATTTATTTATTTATTCGTTTCATTGTTATTTTGTTTTTATCACGGTTAATTTGAATTCTTATAATTCATTCTACACTTGTTTTACATTTCTATTGCTTTTACGGTCCGTTGTCATTTGTTTCGGTAGGATATTCGGATATTTTTTTGTTCCATTTTTACACTGTTCCAAGAATGATTGTACCATTTGTCGTGATTTTTCACAACAATTCCTCTTCGATGCTATCACTGTTCAAGGCAGACATTGTTTTTGTTCACTCCGTCATCCATCGTCATCATCGGTAATATAACTGATAAAATTTTGTTTTCTTGCAAAGCTTCAAAGCAGAGTTATGTACCGATAATCAGGTTCTAACTGTAAGGAATGCGTTAGGGAACGAGATGGGTGTGAACGATGACTGCGGTATTCGATCGGGAATAAAACTGCCTCACCGTACAGTCGCACTTGTAACGACATGAACACATGCAGATTTTGAGCATACATTAGACGTGCATAAGTGCCGATTAAATTTGAACATTACCAGTAACCGTATGGAAGTCAAATAGTAAAGGTATTGTTTCTATAGAGCCTTTAAAAAATCAAAGAAATTTTTCAGCGCAAACGATTTTTCCGCCGTTATTGCACACTGTTTTGTTCTTTCCCACCTTCGTATGCAAATCACAAATGAGAGTCTGAGCGACTCTCATTGTCTCAACAGGGATTAAAAGCATTTTTCATTTCTCGCGCAGACTGTTCCACACGCCATGATTTGAATGAATGCAGCAGCTAACTGGTAACGAATCTCGTTACTTTCTAAAGCTTCTTTAATAATACTATCAAAATTGTGCAACACAACATTTGGACATTCACTTATTCATATTCATTCATTACAAAAACGTATTGTTGATTGATGATTCGCAACGTTAACTTTACGCACGACTAAAACTCCCATCGTTGGAGGAACTGATATTTTCTGAATTATTTTGTTCCTCTTAGTCAATTAACAGTTACGAGTGTTCGGTGCGGAAACCGGACGGAATTGTGAGCAAGCAAAAGCGTTACAGTTCTGCCATGATCACGTCTTTGCAATGGTGCAACAAACAACTACGTAGACATGAATATACATTACTCAATCAAACAGTAATAATTCTACAAATAATGCATCTACAAAGGATATGATAATCGTTTTTCGGGCGTATCACCACGGTGATTCCACGCTAAGAAATGATCTTCTTTCAGGATTCGTCGCATCAGAATCAAACGTCCTCCACGAGTTTTCAGTCGCTCATTCACTGTCTCTGAAATCTTGTTCATAAACTTATTCGTATTCGTAAACTGCAAATATTACGCACCCAAATTGTTTTTACTTTTTCCCAATATTGTACTTCAATGAAATTGCTAAATACGATTCGCTGTCAANTCCACGAGTTTTCAGTCGCTCATTTACTGTCTCTGAAATCTTGTTCATAAACTTATTCGTATTCGTAAACTGCAAATGTTACGCACTCAAATTATTTTTATTTTTCCCAATATTGTACTTCAATGAAATTGCTAAATACGATTCGCTGTCAACGTGTTCATCGGTTTTTTAGACGATAAACATAACGAGTTTCAAGATGTGATCATTCAAAAAATATCAGTGCTAAACGTGAATGTATCAGCACTGTTTAATGCTCACGTTTCTTCAGTTTCAATTTCAACTTGAACGGGAAGTAGCACGGTCTGAAGTTGCTTCGATGCCACGGGCAGTTATAACGAAGTGCTAAAGTGAAACTACCACCAAACGGCTTCAACAGATTGTTGAGGAACATTCTGAAATGATCTCTGGCATTCGCTGGGGCAGTTAAATACTTCAGTCGAAGCAATCAACTGAATATAGCATAACAACTGAACACAAACGTTCAATTCCGATAAAATGGCTTCGTAAAGTGAAGCTGAAACATTCAGAAGCATCATTTATGCAACGTGAAGAAAACGTAGTGAATAAAATTCTCTCACAAATCTCGCACTCCATTTTTGTTACAATTCGAGCGCAATTCCCCCTTCCTCTTTAAGCTGAAGAAAGATTTTCTCCTTCAATATTACCATCAAAATTGCATAGCGTAACAAAAACGCGTTCAATGACGATGATTTGCAAAGTTGGCTTTACGCAGCACTAAAACTCCATGATGCTTTAAAGGCACTTTTGCTGATAACAGGCGCCACTGCCCGTATGTGCTTAGATTACCGCTTCGCCCCATGTGTAGCTAAGCAATTCAACGTCAAATCAGGAGTTTAGACTTAAGCTTAGACTTACGCTTAGCCTAGTGATGAGGCTAACGCATAGACTTCGACTTATGTGTGAAGCGTATGAGCACACGAGCATCTGCGATGGCGCAGTGGAGCCCGTCATCAGCAAAAGTAGCGCTTTAAGAATTATTCCGCTCCTCTCATTCAATCAACAGTTACGGAAGCAGATAGAATTGTAAGAGAACTGCGTTATTTGCTAGTTGTTGAAAAAAAATTTAGAGGTAAACTGACATTTCGACAAGCAGGAGTGGAGTGCACTTCGCCAATTGGCGGGACCCGCATTTCCATTTGATAGGTGTTTAGAAATGTGAATTTCTTAGCCATTAAACGCGGGGTTGGTAATAGAAGCCAAATTGCACTTTTGAAGCGACGCGGTCAG